ACGTTTCGGATTCCGTCGGGAATCCTTAGTCATAGATAATCGTAAACAGGTCCGAGACATGCGCAGTTGGTTGGCCTATGGCCACTATAATTACATACCCTTGTTTTGTTGCTACTTCTCACCTCTGAAGATGGACTACTACAAGAGTTCGAGAGCTCAGGACAATAAATCTATTGATTCGGTACTCGACAAGTCTTTTTCCTTATCCATGCAGATACCTGGAACGCGAACCTTTTCATTTCTAACTTATTTTGGGATTCTCCCATAGCATAATGCATACTCATAAAAAGTTTCGTTCTGTCACACATAATAACAGAAGATTTCTTCTACATTAGGCTAGACCTGATTTAGCTAAAATCCGTGCACATTACCCTTAATGAACTTAACTAAAATGGCACTTTTCCTTACTTAAAGGCTTCCACGGGATTAAATCCACTCTGTGGATCAAAATAACATGACAAAATATATGCTCAACTACCAAGTCAAATTACGCCATACTGAACATCATCTCTGTACAATCGCTAACCATATTCATATCATCTCTATATCACTTCTATAGAGATGACATAGAGAGTATTTAGAGACAGCGGCGTTCTCCACAACACCCCTGTCTCTCATTACATGTCGTGGATATTTAGTCTAATAGGTACTTTTTGGACTTATATGAAAGAGAATCAATTGACAGATCACGATGTATGATTATTCCAAATGCACGGTTGTTCAACTTTGTTGTTCTTTCACTTTCAGATTCACTTAGACGTAAGAAAACAGAGGAAGCCAGTAAGCCCAGCTGGACTTTTAACTATTTCGGAGGAACTTTTACATAACTACAAGATTAGATATGTAAAGTTCACAGACCAGTAACAGTAGACATTTCACCTAACAAACATTACAAGTTTCATTTTCTCAGCTGTGGCGAGAGTTTTTCCCTTATTCTTTTGGATATTCGCCGACTCGTGCGACTAATATAACCTGCCCGCTGTCTTTCCCTCTTCCCCTCTGGAATGGCGCCATCACAGCCTCATTGCTACTTGGCCAGACGTCTTATATCACCACCGCCCCCCCCCCATTCCCACGACTTATTTATAAGGTTGGCAAATAATTATTTTCGGTCATTCATCTTCAGGTCCAACTACTTACATGGAGAATAGAGTAGTCAGTTATGAAAAGATAAAGTGGCGAGCATACGTTTGCTTTCGGTAAATTCTCTTCAGGCCTATACGGTAATTAAGTAGATAAACTATGCGGGTTGGTGAAAAAAAGTAGTGCGATTGCCAGGACCGGGTAGGGTGGGGGTAGGTCAATATGTCAGTGTCTGGGGGACCGGCAGCCGAGCCAGATGTTGCACTTGTCGCAAGTACTAATGTCGACAAACCGAAGGTGTGCCAAAAACATTTCTTTGGAGGATTTTTCCTTCCAAGGTCATGTTCCCGACGAGGGAGCGCATCCGCCGTAGAAGTTCGAATGGTTTTCGATCACCTAAAGCCTCTTCCTTGGCCAGGGCATGGTAATGTTGGCGGTCAGACACCGCCCTCAGGCGTAAAAACTCGTCTTTAAGTTTGGTTTATGGGGAGTCGGCCGGAGGGTCACGTAAGAGAATTTGTACCTGGGAGAGAATGGTGGGTGGAGGGCCTGGACCAGTTTATATTTGTCTAGCTCCTGCGTAACATTCGCAAAATAGAATGACAACTCAATGCAGAAGAAGTAAAGTTCAGGCGCATTTTTTCAAAATTCAGGGAATGTTAAATGAACTCTGGCAATAGAGGAAGCATCATCCTTGGGAACGGAATCCGATATAATGGAGATATAATGAAGATATAATGCAGAAGAAAGCGTGAAAGTCGAAAAGTCAACACCTGACTGGATCATATACTTGGAGGAATAACGTGTTCGAAGGGGTCACCAACTGTCGCAAGCAGTAATATCGACAAACCGAAGGCTTCCCAAATCACAAGTCAAGCAAGACGGTGTTGGTGAACAGAAGTTTACTGCAGGAAAATAGGCAGTAAAAAGCTGAGTTCTGTACGTCGAGCGGGTCCGGCCAATAGTATTGCCTTGACTGCAGAATGGGCTTAATGTGAAAGTGCAGCAAACCAGGTGCACAGGCCCTCATCGATTGGCTGGAACTTGCGCAGGACATGCTGCGGCCAAACGGGGGAGGCGTACGGCTTCTCGCAGCGGTTGCCAAGTTCGCGGCGAACGAAGGCAGACAGCGTGAGTCAGCGAG